TTACTCTAAAATTACAAAACCGAATTCTGTACACCAGTGTGATTTAATTGAAATACCATATGATGAAGATGTAGATATGGGTTTGTTGGATAATGGCCCAATATTTTACTATGTACTATTGGTTATAGACTGCACGACTAGATATAAAGATTTCGTTTTTTTAACATCAAAAAGTAGTGAAAAAGTCACAGAAGCATTTAAGAGTATATATAATAATCCTGACAATCCTCTTAACTGGGCTCGGCTATTGCAATGTGACGAAGGTCGTAAGTTTATGGAAAGCGTGACATTGATAATGGATAAACACAATGTTAACATCCGAAGAACTAAAGTACGTTTCAGGCATACAAGCTTGGCTATAGTTGATTATTATGCCAGATTATTCGAATTAAGAGTTTTTAAAAATCAATATGCGATAGAGTTTCTCTTATCTACTGGCGAACGCTATAAAGAATGTGAATGATTTGCAAGAAGAATTGTTAATAACATGAATGATACTCCTACTCAGTTAATTGGAATGAGTCCCAATGACACCACAAAACTTGAGCGAGTGTATTCCAAACCATCGGTAAAATATAATCGTCCAATAGGTGTTGATGAACCGCGACTATCAAAGGGTACTACTATCCGATTTTTGCTTGCTCCTGGAGAATGAAAAAATGATCCTTTCGAACGATGCAGAATCACAGATCCAATATGGTCTTCCAGCCTACATAAAATCTGAAGAATTGTTGTTGGAAAAAATCCTTCTATGCCTATTTTATATTATTTAGATGAATTGGGACCTCGGCGTCCCTTTGTAAGAGAACAATTAATGCATATTAAGGAAGAGCCTATGTTGCCTCCTAGATAGATATTGAGAGATAACCGAATGCATATAAGGCGCTCTTTATAAATGTTTCTAAGTCTACTACGCAGTAGAGTATAGTAATGAGAATCACTCCTTCCTTGTAGCATAACACCCTCTTTTTCCAATTATGACAAATTTGTGCATCTAGATTCATCTGCCCTTGTGGGTGAAAAAAAGGCATGATTTGATAATGCTGATTACCACTATATTCGAAGGCCAAGCCTAGCTCCTCATTATACCTATCTAGATGTAATCCTTTTAAGAATTTAGGTTTTCGAAGAGGAAATTTTTTATGTAATAAATCCTCAAATATATACCGGCATGTTCTTTCTGGTACATTAGGACAAATATTATACCATTGGTAATTCTGTTTCATATTTTTATATGACGCTTCCCATTGATGTTTTTTCTTATATGCCCATAAATATGTGTTAGAACTAACTTTTGCTAAGCACTTGCCTTCATGCTTTTGGGCATATGCCAAAGCTTTAGCATCAATTCTGTCTTGTATTTTATAGATACAATAGAATATCACGTACAGAAATAGGTGTGTCTCAGAAAAATGCCAAATTTAACTCGGCTACTACTCTCAATGATTAGCAGGGGTGTGGAAATTTCAGCTAAGAGTACTTATCTATATAATTCAATGATTTCGTCTATATTCGCTTCGGACGAATTATCAAAATATCTAGAATATTTATTGTAAAGTTTTTATATATTTTTTAAGCCATTTTTTTGCCTTGTTCTGGGAATAGATATCAATTTGCTTCTCTTTTTCATCTGAATCTTTAAGTTGTATAATTTTATGTAAAGAAGGTGGTTGATATTTTTCATCCTCATTAATAAAGCGTGCACACATTCCAACTGTCTTTTCTAAGTAATAGTTGATATCTATTTCCATATTTTGTTCTTTTGCAGTATCATAAAACTCCATATAGTTAGCATTTCTACGTGGTATTAACCAACTATTATCATCACGATACCGTTCACCTTTCACAACCACATAACTAAAGCGCTTACCTAAATCGAGAATCTTGTTTTCGTAATTTTCTTTTATCTGTTCCATAAAGCGCTAAATATATTTATTATCTTTATTAGGCTTCCATGTAGCCATCGCAACAAATTGGTTAAAATCCCATTGCTTTCCACTAGCTTCTTTAATAGTATCTTTGACGATTTGATGGATTGTGCGTGTATTATTGATATTCATTGCCTCTCTCATGATTTTCTCTCCAATGAATCTGAAAAGCTCCGTTTGACCTTGCTTTCCAGTATCAATACCTTTAGTAAATAGCTTTTTTGGCTTGAAATTTACTATTTTCTTATGTGCAACTCCGAAGTATTTCTTTTTACTAGTAAAACATACAGGGAACAATACTTCCTCATACGCCATCTTTAGATAAAAGGTACTATTTTTTATTCTAAGATAAGCATTTACTTTGTTACGAAATTCATCCATCACCTTCATAGTAATTTTTACCATTTTACTTCAATATGCCTCTTTGGAAAGCTTGTTTTTATTATAATCTCTATCGCATTTTTCGTAATACTTATCTGGGCAGGTAATATATAAAGAGTCAGTGTCACCATACTTGATCCCAAAGCCTTTCGCTATAATGAATCTAGCAACAAGACCAATATTGTATTGTCCCGCTGAAGTAATTCCTCCAGCTAATTCACGAAGAAAGAATGGAGAGTTACTATTACCCGCCTCGCTATAAAATATATTCATATACACCTTCAGAGCAAATTGTTTTGAGTTTAAGCAGTTATAATCAAAGCATAGAGAATCATGTTTTAATTTTAAAGCATTCGGTACAATTTTACCCTTCTCTTTTATGGTGCTTATAAGCTTTTCAAGACGCTTCTTCTCTTTTCGTAGTAGGGCAAACTTTGATTTAAAGTTTACTCGTTTATTAAACAGATCCTCTAGAACGGTAGAATATAATCCTTTTTTCTCAGAACAATTGCCATGACGGATGGCCCAGGCATAAAGAATATGCCCATTAAATAGAAATTTAATCTCATATAATTCAATTCCTCTTCCACGTAAATTATTAGCCTCTTCACGGCTCAATATTAATTTTTCAGGTGAAAGATTGTAAGCCATGATAAGGCTGGGATATCATGAGGCGAAATCGAGACCTGTAACGGGACGCTTATTCTCAATACCTTTTATTGGGGGAAAAACATATGCACCTGGATACTTATCCTTTTCTTTATCTTTGTGGTAAATTGTACTAAATAACATATTGCATTTGGTGGCATAAGCGCCCAGAAGATTTCTTACCTTTATTCCATTTGCACGATAATGTATATCAAATAAAGATATATAAGCTATAGAGGCAACTTCTCTATAATCATTAATTATATTGCGTTTGACTGCGAGTTCTTGGCAACGCAACACATCTATAATACAATAGTTTGCTATCTCATGCATATTTTTAGCAGTTATATTAGAAGAGCATTCCTTTACCTCAGAATAGTAGTTCCATAATCTGTTAAAAGGCATATCGGTCTTACTCTTGAGCCCACATAATTTTAAGTAGAACTTAAGTGAACTTTCTTTTTCTACTTCTGAGCAAGAGTAAAGTCTCTTAAAACATGCACGAACATCGATTGATATGCATCCAGGTATTTTAAGAAAGGAAGATTTAAAGATATCTTCTGGGCTAACTTTGATAAAAATAGAATTTCTTTTAAATTCTTCTTCCACGTACTCTTCTGTATTCTCTTCTGTATTCTCTTTCATGGAAGAGTACTCATTTGGAGTAGTTATTTTTTCTAATTTCCCATAGTAATTCTATTGTATAATACCTTCAAAAGTTTCCTGGCGAATTCTTCCTGACATTTGTTTCCACATCCATTCAATGAGATGTAACCTATTAGCTTTTTCCATAATGAAAGGCCAATCATATTGTGAATCATTAAATCCGAGTTGGATGTCTGGAGCAAATGCCCGCCAGCAAAGTGCAAATGCTTTCAGCAAATTAGTTTGCGATCTACATATAATTGTAATCCAGTGTGGATCTGGTGCCGTTTCAATATCGACAAGACAGATCTGTTTTAAAGGTTTCAGATCATCTTTCCAATGCAAAGTTATG